AGCATTTGGGGGGGGGGGTTTGGAAGTGATGCAGTTCAGCTGCCAGTGATTTTTAATCTTGTAGTTAAAGGGTGAAGTCTTGACTCTGAAATTGTTAGTTTTGTTACTTTTGATTTATGTCACTTATTATATAGCATTTTGCTTGTGCCAAAAGCTACATTCATCTTATACAGTTCACCTAATGCAATAGATTGCCATTTTCACCTTGCCAATAATAAATAAATTACAGAGGCTCACTTAAGGCACCCTGCTTACTGTGAACTCACTGATTCACAGTAAATGTTTTCTAGCATCAGTATAGTTTGAATATAGAAAATCAAGGTTCAGATCCCAGTCAGCCAGGGACCTTTCTGAAAAACTTGAAGAACCCATAGGAAAGTGGGTGGAGACAAATAACCATTATAATCTTAGTCTAAAAAATAATAACATCAAGTACTCAAGTACATCAAATACAATTTTAATTGCATTTTAATTGTTTTGTCTTTTTACTCTATTTTAAATGTTGTAAGCTGCCCAGAGACCTTTGGGTAGTGTGGGCGGCATATAAGTTAAATAAATAAATAAAAATAAATAAATAAATACATACATACATACATACATACATACATACATACATACATACATACATACATACATACATACATACATACATACATACATACATACATACATACATACATACTCCTCAGTCATACTGGTTTCCTGTTAAAATTTATTTTGATTGAACATTGCTTCTAGTTGTCAGAGGATTTAACCGTTTCAATTGGGTCTTCTATCTAGATGAAGTGTAGGGGCTCTTGTTTAGAAGAGGCAACAAAACAGAAACAAAAAACTGTCCTCTTCTCTACCATAAACACCCCACCAAATATACATTAAAAACAGGTTGCAAAATTGTCCATTCTGTTGGCGCTGCAAGGGTTTGTAAATTGACACCAACACAAACTGTGCATAAGAGAAAATCCATTGCTTCTCCCAAAGCATCGTATTCACAGCTTCTTGCCAGCATTTATTCCACACTTCACTCGTTCCATGACCTAATTACCATGTACATTAGTGGGAACCCTGGGGGGTTCTGGTAGAGTTCAGTGAAAAGTCCTGAGACAGACTGCAACAGAGGCTATACGGGCTGCATCCCATAATGGTGTAGCCATCTGCAGGATTCAGAGAGTCCTGCCTTTCCATTAATCTCAACGTTCCTTGATCTCTCCTGAGCCAAAAGACACCTTGGCCCTTTTAAAGATTTGGAATGTGTCATATTTACCTGTGGAAAAATGCTAGTATCCCAGCAAAGGGGTACCAAAAGAAAAACTGCAGAGGATACCTTGTGTGTAATTACAAAATAGCACCTGCAGTTCTCATATTTCTTGATAAGAACTGCAGGTTCTATTTTGTTTAAAGAAACTGTCTTGTGACAAATTAAGGAACTGTTTTCTGATTTGCTGAAATGTTCTGCATATATAACTGGACACAAAATTTGTCATTCTTTGTTTGAAAGATGACTCCTGCCAGAAGAACCCAGAATGTATCAGAGAATAATTTTGAAATTTGGTTTATATCATCAGAATATTTAACAATAGCAGCCTGTGCTCAAGACGGATGATGGAATATGACTTTTCTAAAAAAATTATTCTGCCCAACCCAGTCCATATACTAGTGGTGAAATAAATACTTGTGCCACACTATGTGTATGCTGTTTTCCTGCAGGAGCATCTTTTTGCTGTAGGAAAAATTTGAAGCGATTCTTAAATCAATCAGTGACAAGCTGGCTATGTACATGTTAAGGAACATGTTTCTGAAAGGAAAATGCTTGAAAATTCTTTTTTATTAATTGAATGGGAGGTGGTTCCTATAGGAATAATGCAGTATAAAATAACTAGAGCAGGTCTGAAAACCACTGGCCCCTTTGCCCAAATAATTTCTGTTTCTAATAAATATGGGTTATATGTATAGCTTATAAATATCCAGGTTGGTTTATAAATATTTTATGAATGGAGTTGCTGCTGTTTCTTTCTGTTTCATTGATTTATATATTCTGCAGGGGAAATGACAAACTACTTGCTTAAGGCAAACTCTTGACTTGGTGTGTATGTTCACTGTTATGGAGTTCACCTGTGCTTGATATCCTAGGAAGCCCCTGAACTGGGCTAATCTCTGAATCAATGTGCTGGAATTAAGCTGTGTTGGAGGGCGGGAGGTTTCAATTTGTTAAGAATTACATCTGGACTTTGTTTCAGCCCCAACTCCCATTGTCTTTGACACTGGTGAAACGCACACGCTTTCCAATTTGGAATTGAGCCCCTGGGCTGAAAAAGTTTCTTTCCTCGTATTCTAGTGGTATGATTCATTGTGAAGGCTTGTTGAGGGAGGGTCCCTCAAATATTCTGGATTTCTTTAACTTCCATGGATAGTATCAAGAAAGACAGAAAGTTCCCCTAGGCTGACTTTGTTAGGCTCTGAAAAATGTTTAGGATGTTTTCACATACAGCACTTACGATATTGTTTAGCCTATCTTATTGACTCTTCATTATTTTTCAGATGGAGACCTGTCTCCTTTGCATACATGTTTAATAAGTGCTTGCAATTTAAATAAATTTCTAGTATATCTTTTAAAATATATACCTATTTGATCCACTTGAAATGCCTGGATTGCTCCTTCTGGTGTTGTAGAACAGTGCCACCCACAGGGCCGTTGTGGAGCACATGCTAATTAAGTGCCCAAAAAGTCTCTCTTGTTCTACAGGCCATAAGCTGTGTCAAATTGTGTAGGCAGATGATTTATTTTTCAGCTCCTTGGAAGTATCACTGGGTTGTCGGAGACTTTCTGCAGTGTTGCTTCTCACCTTGTCACAGCCATTCATTGCCATGAGTTGCTGTTTTCAAAGGAGATCACTGTAATCCTTTGCGACCAAGCGTGGAATGAGGGCCCGTATCCTTCATTGCAACAATCAAAGCCGCATGGCTAAGATCTGTTACAAAAAATGTATGAAATCCCAATTCTCCACCTTTCACAAACTTAATTGTGGGGCTAAAACATGCGACACAGATAGAACTAGAGAATATTTTAAGACAATTGCATAGGCATATGGCAAACTAGACATGGGTATACTTACCATACATGTGTTTTTTCACTGAAATGAGGGAAAGGAATACATTGGTCTGTGGCACCATTTTAACAACATTATTGAAATTAGTGCTGATCTATTTATTTTATTTATTTGAGTTATATAGCTCTTCATTAGTGCAAAGCACTATTCTGGGTGGTGTACAAAAGATTAAAACATGCAGTAATAAATGATAAGTACACAAGAATTAAAACGTTAATAGAATAGGGTCAAGTGGCAGCAAAGACAGTTCTCTGTAGGATGGCAGGGTCTGCTCTGCTCTAGACTGCAGCAATCCTAAACTAGAACGGTCTAAACCAGAACACCTATCTGTGAATGTTTTGGCAACAATACTTGTACTACACCAGTAGGATGGGAGTGACTGCAGTGCTGCTCCTTCTCAGGTGTGCCCATTTCGCCGCCCAGAAGGAAACCAAACCTGTGCTTTCCTTTACATAGCATCAGGTCCAGAGCATTGGGACTGGCACAAGTATGACAAGCTGCTGGGCTGCTGTGGTTACCTGACACCTGAGAAACACAAGAATTGCCATTTCCATTTTGTTTTTATGCATTCCCCTCTTGTCCTGCCCACTTGGTATATGGTGATAATTCTGCTTTGTGCTTTTCAGAGAAAAGAAGCTGAAAGCCAGAGTGCAGGAGCTGGTGAGTGCCTTAGAAAGACTGACAAAGAGCAGCGAAATCCGGCACCAGCAGTCTGCAGAGTTTGTTAACGACTTGAAAAGAGCAAACAGGTGAAAAGGTTACCCTAGTAAATGGCAGCATGTATCAAAAGGGGCCAGTCAGTATGCTGGGGAAGGACTATCTTTTGTTGTGCACTACTTTTGAGTGCAAAATTTACAGAAAGGCAATATTCCAATAACATGACTGATTATACTTATGCATGCATGTCCTGAAGAAAACTACAACTTTGAGGCTATATGCAGAGGTGCACTAAAACAGGGCTTCAGGGCCTTCTGGCCTTCCATGTATTGATGAAAAACTACCCATTTCTAGCTACCAGCAACAATCTAGTGGCAAAACACACTTTCTGTCATTCCCAGATAAGGTTGGTGAATAATCTGGCTACAAACCATGAAACCTTGCTACTAGTAATCCTCAAGTCCAGTTAGATGAGCTAATGGTCTAACCTGACTGACACAGCTTTGTAGGAAATTCTATGAAGTTTCTTCCTATAATCCTTCACAGTTGGCAAGGTTGGCTGGTCCTGATGGAAATTGGAATCTAATGATGTTCTGTGGTCCACAGTAGCAAACATAACAAAAATTTGTATTTTAAAAAAATATTTTATTTAAAAAAAGTTAATAATGACAACACTAACATAAAATGTATATACAACTGTAATTTTTATCTGAGATATAAGCAGTCAAATATGCTCCCATAAACAATCTTAAATTGTTTTCCATTGCTGTTTGTTTCCAACAGTAACCTTGTGGCTGCCTATGAGAAAGCAAAGAAAAAGCATCAAAACAAGCTGAAGAAACTGGAATCCCAAATGATGGCTATGGTTGAAAGGCATGAGACTCAAGTAAGAATGCTCAAACAAAGAATTGCTTTGCTGGAAGAGGAGAACTCAAGACCTCATACCAACGAAACATCACTTTAAGAGGGAAAAATTTATAACAAGAGAACCATTGCAAATGTTACTTCTTGCAACGTTTGTTTGAGCTATTGAACAGAGAAGGGGATCTGAGACAGCCTGGGGGAAATCAGAGGTCAGTGGCTCGAAGTGCTGTTTTAGTTTTATGGCCATGAATAGGAGGAACCAAAAGAAGAAAGTTATTTTTGGATGGCTGTATGTAATCAGACAGTGCCTGGCGGTATATGTTTCTGTACATCAAAGTTCTTCAGTTGTTTTGTTCACATTGTTACAAACTTTCCTTCCCCAGTATTGGTTTGGGTAAGAACAAACGTCTGTCATTGTTTATCAAACATTTTCTTGTGAGTCTATTGTAATATTGAGGTAATGTTCAAACACCACCGCGTAGGTAGCATTTCTTTGGGATAGTAACATTTCTCCTCTCTACCTCCTTTCCACTACTCATCTGCTGCTCTAGCATCAAAATGCACAGCTGTTTAGCATGTGGAATGTCCACTTCTTTGTAGCCAATCTATGGCTACAAACTGAGCCAGACATTATTAGCAAACTCCTGCAAGTGACATCTAAGGTAGTATGAGTAATGCTTGCCTCCAATGGTTGGAGATTGCAGACAACTAGCACTGCATAGAGTATGGTTTTAAATGACTAGTTATGCAGTTCTGTCTACAGTCGGTTTATGTTTCAAAGCATCTTTGCCTTACTTCTTCCTTCTGAGTCTTTTAGGATTGCAGTCTTGATACTTGGGGACTACTGCTAGTTCCCCCTACTTCGCTTCTAGTCTATGCATCCAGAACAGAACAGGCAGGTCTCAAAATCAGCTAGAGCAGTGCAGTACAGCTGGCACCTTTTCTGGGGTGGACCTACTTTCCTCTTCTGACTTGTACTGCTCTTGCCAGGGGGGAACAGCTGTGTGGAAGTGCCCTAAGGTTAAGTCATTGTTTTCCAAACTGCATCCTGTCAAGGAACATAATTTATGCTATGAGAATAACCACTCAGTTAAGCAAGCAGGGAAACTAATATTCCCTGGATAGGGTAACAGGGCATAGCACTTGTGCATTGTTGCAACACAGGAAACCGTGGCAAGAATGGGTCACAGGACAACATTAACCTTTTAAGAAATGGTTTCTGAAGTGGATGGCTTCTGAAGGCTACTAAGAGGTGCCATTTCTATACATTTGAAACAAGGTTACCATAAAGCTGATCTGCAGAGTGTCAAGAGCAGTTGATGTAGTTTCATTCAGTTTGCTTTTCCTTTTTGACTGAAGATGGCCAAGAATATAAGGAATGTTTCTGATTCAATGAATGTAGATTTCCTCCCTAAAAAGCTATTGTGTGAAAACTCATTTGCAGTTATGGTGCTAGTTCTTCCCACTCAACCCATAGTTATCAATGGTGATGGAGTGAGGGCTACCATACAAAATATTTCCTTCAAGTTTTGAAAGTTAAATAAAAAGAGCAATAGTCTTTATTAAACAAAGCCAGATCATTATTATCTCCTCTAGTTATAAAATACAACAGTAACTCCTTGGCGCCAGAAGAGGCAGACGGAGGAACAGACAGATTAACCACTAGGAATCAAGGGAGAGAAATGTCTCAAACGGCACATGCAACTGTGGTGCCTTGTTCTCAAATCTTTTTTCCTTCTTGCACTGTGATTCTTAGAATGCTTGCAATAAAGACAATTGTAACAGATATCCTCCTAATGTTTTCTAGTGTTCTTCCATAGATTTTTACTATAGCTGACGTGAGGTGCTTTTCAAACAAATATTTTAGACTCTTGTTGTGGTTTTCTCTTCCACTGATATTGCAGCCTCTAAAAGATGTTTTCATAGTTTCATTTTTCAAAAATCTCAGTTATTTAGGGCCTTTTAAAGTTTGTTTTGATCTTTCAGTATGTTTTAACTGGCTTGAGCTGCACTGTTGCCCACCAGAGCAATCCCGTTTTAGGGATTAGCTTTTCAAAGGCGTGCACATAAAAAATTCAAATTAAACCCCATGATGCATATTTAGTTTTTATTCAGAACTGATATCATCATCCTCGGTTTTCAATTTTCAACATAGCACAGCTGTTATTGTGGCAAATTCTAGGAGCGTTGATAACTAATGGGCACAAGTTCTACTGGTCATCTTATCACGTCTCACTTTTCTTAGTAAAAGCATCCTACACAAAGGAACATGAATGTCTCTCTAAATGAAAAACTAAATTCCTTCAATAGAAGGGGTTTCCCTGTAAGTGATAAATCAGTATTTTTTTTCTTTTTGTCATTACTGGCCAGGTAGTGCTACACAAGCTAATTCTTAACTTTTGTGTTTATTTCCATTTTCAAATTCATAACTCTGCTTACTGTGGATTCATTGCTACGTAAAAGAAATACTTTTGCTGGTTTGATTTAATGGCCTCAATATTCTGTTTTTTGAATAAGCATGGTAATTAATCTTTTGTTAGAAATCAATTATTTGAACAAAATTTAATGTCTCACTTTACTGCAGTTATGGCATAAGAAAAGTAATTTCCTTACTATGTGCATTCATGATGTCTTTGTTCTCCTTTATGGGTCTCATCAGTTACACATCATAAAATTTTTGCAACCAGTAACTATATTAGGACTTATTTTAAATTCCCACTGGACAAGTTCTTACAGCTAGATAAGCTGCCCTAAGAAAGATGATGCTGAAAACAAAGTGTTTCACTGCCAACCTACCAACTAAAGACCAAACACAAGGTGTACAAGTCAGAGGTAGCCTGCAGAAATCTCAGAAAAGTTAATGATGGAGAAGCTGGCAACACATAATGAATGAAACAAGTTCTTCTGGGGGTTTCATTTTTGTCCTGCCTTCTGCTGGTGAAAGTAAGGATTTAATTAAGACACAACATCAAACTATCATTAAAGAAGCCTGTTTATAGTTCAGCCATAATGTATGAAATGAGAAACCATAGGTATACCTGTAGCTTCATTTCAAGAGGAAACCTCCATGAAACTCTTAAAGGCAGAAGCCAGTAAGTAGGCCTAAAGCATGGCTTCCATATATGTTTTGAAAGTAACACACTCCATTAGGCTATTTGGCATGATCTTTACTGAGCCAAAATAAGTTTGCTTGGTACAGTTTGGACATGCTCTACCATCTCTTTTCATTCATCATGAATTATGACTTGATTCTTCAGCTAAACTGGAAACGGCATGAAGCCATTGGGACTCCTTTGTTTTTCACTCTCAGTAAAAGCATTGCCCTGTGTGTGGAAGTAATGAATATAACTCAATAATTGGTCAAAAGGCTTTTGTTGTCCAATTAAATGGACTTTGCAACTGTTAATGCATGGCAACTGCCAACTAAATTGGACCTGCTGAAACAAAAGGGAGCCTTTCACCAGACCCAAATTAGGTATAATGATTTGGCACACTGATAATGTTCATCTCTCATTAAGCTACCTGAAGTTTTGCATAAAATTTCAGGACAACATAGCAGCAAAAGGACCATTTCCACCTTGGTTTCAGTTCTGAAGGTTCAAGTGCTTCCTGCCATTTGGGCTGGGATTAGGGTAAGAGGTGAAATAGTTTCAAAGACAAGTATCATTTCTTAACTGTTCACTAAATCAGAATGTTTCTTATTTTATCCTATGATCTACACGTTAAATTAATTCCATGGAGTACCGCCTTTTTCATTTAGTTCTTAAAAGTTGTACAGCATTCCCCTCCTTCCGCCTTGAGCTTTTCAAACCCATTCCTATTAGAGAACCCAATCCATTGCATTGTGGTGGCTGGCTGATCACTCATGCCTCTTGGAAGATTGTTTTGACCTACACCTTCATCAGGTATTTGCTGTTTTCTAGGACTGTTAGATAGTGTCTCATTTCCTATAATGGCATGTAGGCACTGCTTTCAGAAAGACATCATTTGGGTCTTGTATCCTGTCATATTCTAAGCATGTATGTGCACTTTCTTCACTTTTGAGGCACTTCTGCAGTTATCAAAGTTTTTCAATTCTTCATCCATGGTACATATGACACAACATTTTGGAACATTTATTCCTTTCCTGGCTGTTTTACTGCTCGCTAATCATAAAACACAAGTTGTGATTTTGCCAATGCCAAATTTTAAGGACAGTCTTAATTCCCCCAACCACTGTCCAATTTATTTAGGGATACTGGACTAAAGTGTTTATCAACAGTGGTGCTGAATATTAACTATTCAATGTACAAGCTAAGTTTGTCTTATATGACTTATTATTTCTACGAAAGAATCTGCACTTAAGGAATAAGACTTTTATACCAGATCCGCATCTGAGGTATTAGTACTGGTTCTTTCCATTGAATCTGACCATACCATGTACAAATATTAGCATTGTAGTTTCCATGTATATTCATAGCTGGTGGTCAAATCTCTGAAAGAACTTAGCAAGGTTACACTGAAATCTGTCACGTCAATGGTATTTTACATATGACTTAGGATTTTCTTCTCAAAGACCATACAACCAGTGGGAAAAGAAATAATGAATTGTTGTGCCCTAATCAGCTATAAGAATGCATGATATGTCATAAACTTCAATGCATGAATATAAGAGATAGACAGTTAGTTGGAGATAGGCAGAAGCCACTGACTTTCGTTCTCTCATCTATTTTGGCAAGAAGCTGCAGAGCGATTATTTCCAAATTGTATTCAAATACAGTACTGAAAGAATGCAGATTTAATGTACTTTGATGGAGCAGTATTTTGACCTTAAACAATAACTTCCTATGCAGTATGATAAATCTAAGATGACTATGCTTACTTTCTACAGGCAACAGAAGAGACTGGCCCATCAATCCTATTTGTCTTTAAGGACTGTGGTCCATGAGTGTTTTGCCACATAAAGTCAAGGATGTTATGTAAATCATGTCACTTCATCCTAGGGACCAATATCAAAGTTAAAGGTAGAGGAAGGAACTTGAGCAAATCTATGATCAGTCTTGAAACGGTGTGTTTCAGTTTGGCAGGCTAAGTCTGAATGTTCCCAATGTCCAACAGTATATCTGAGGAATAATTTTTTAAAAAATCACTCATTTATGCAACAGTTTAAAAAAATTGGTTGGGTCCTAATTGAGGTTCATGAAAATGCAAGGGATCTATAAAAAAAGCTTTTGATCTAGCAAAGGAGTTAACAAAGTAAAAGGGGAGAGACCACCATTTGTCCCAGTTTTGCCAGCTACTCCAGAGAATGCAAGAGACGGAACAGATGAAATCAGTTCCCCTCCTCCCACAAGACAGGGCATCCCAACTAGGGCTGTTCCTGTGGGCTAGAAGCACGATCCAGATCCAATCCATCTCGGTGCTCAATGTCAGGTTACCACCTGACAAATGTGTGCACTATCCATTCCACTGTGTTAAGCAAATGTCTTTCTTCATAACAAATCTAAGCAACTACTCAGTTACTGTAATCTGTGACATGTTCAGTTGTATTATTAGAACAAGTTTCTAAAAATTGATGAGTTGTCATACATTGCATGTAATGCATTTTAAGTCTGTTACCTTTTCAGGTTAAGGTATACGCTTTTTATACCAGCTTGAATGTATTGTTCTTTACAAAGCACATATTAAATTTGCATTAAATGTCAGTATTTGTTTACTGTTTATACTGGCATTTTTCACTGAAACCTACAATTTTTGTTGATTTTTCCTCAATTGCTTTAGTTCTTTAGCTGCTGTAAAATAGCTGTCTTGTGTTTATTTGATATAGAATTGTAAAAATGGCATTTATTTATACAGAGGCATTTATAATACTTTTACAAATGTTCTTATATTCTGAATAAATTTCTAATGCTAAAATGTCTCTAAGCCTTCAATCCTTTGTACAGTTCCTCTTCTTTATGTGGGCTAATACCTGGTTCTAGAACAGAAAAAAGTGCTCTTAACTGATAGTGTATGCAACACAGATTGAAATACTTCCAGACACCTGAGGAAATGATTTTTTCCTTGTGTTTACACAAAAGCACACATTAAAATCAACACTTTTAATGACAAATGATAGTGTATACATATACTCAGTACACTTCGCATACAACAGAAGTTAACCAATTAAATTGTTTTGTTCTCACATTTAGAGGGCTATAAATGCAGTTCCACAATTTAATCAATGCTAGGATATGCTTCTGAAGAATGTGTCTAGTTTCCTTTAGGCATTCTGCCCACTCAGGAAATGCCAACTCACATGAGGGGGAGACACATGGAATAACCTCACTCCCAACATCCACATCAGGTTTGTGCTAAGCAACAGTCCCTAAAAGGGAACTTCAATGTGTGTAGAAGCCTTGCTGCAAACATTGTTCCCAGGCACAGCGAGACTTCTAAGCCTCTCAGCTAAACTTGGTAAAGTGGAAAGATAGTGGGAGCAACACATACACTCCCATGGTCTCTGCACAGGTTGGAATTCCCTGCTAAGGCATAATGTCTGAACAGGATTTCAACTGACAAACAAATACTGTAGCCATCTAAGGTGTTGTTAGTTTGACTTCTGTAACTGACAATGTCCATTATGGTTTGGTAGTAAAAAAAAATGTACAATTTTACAATTCAGAAAAGTAATCACATTTGAAGTCATTACAGTCATCCACCACTCTAATACCTTAATCTTAGCAGTCAGTATTTCTGCATAAAATACAAAAGTAATATTAATCAATTAAAAAAGCAACTGCAGAATGAACACATAAAAAACTCAAAAGAGTACTAAGATTTCTAACAATGTACTCTGGAGACCAACCAGACCATTTAAACTTGGTAAAAAAATGAAACAGCTGTATGTGTTTTCTTGGCTTACAGTGAATAGTCAAAGAAAGAAATACACATCTGAAAATTAGCTGATTGCTGCTCATCTCCTTTTGAGACCAAGTTCACTTGTTCTTTAAAACTGCATGGGGGGAATTATAAGATAACCTATGCTAGTATCTGTCTTGCACCTCTCCAACCAGTTACGCTGTTTAATCCACATGTATTAGTACAATGTGAATTAATAATACCGGTGTCAAAATGGGATCACATTACCTGCAATGTATGCACCTCAGGTTGCACTTTAAGAATGCTCTAGTCAGAAGCAAATTATTATGATGGGCCATTTTTCACAAAATATAGTAGCAAAAACCTCCACACTGTTTAAACAAACAGAATTCAGCACTGTTAAATTCACATTTAGGTTCTAGACCTTTATAACCATGCTTAACTTTAAAAAATAAACTGGTTCTGCCAAGAAGAACTCTCTATAATTATTAGACATTGCAGGCTAGAGCTATTAAGAAAAGTAACACCTTTATCCTTGTTATAAAACAGCCATGCAGAACATGTGCCTCTTTAGATGAGTAACACCTCCCATTATCTCTTACGATGGCCTATGCTAGCTGGGAGTTGCATTTGAAGATCTCCATATTCTCTAGGCCTATTCTCATATATTTGCTGATATAGAAAATTACTTCCAAAACGTGTACTTCTTTCTTGACCTGAAGCACACTATTTCACTTTTCATAACATTGCTCCATTAAATGGCAAAATCCTAAGAAACAAAACCAAAAAAAAAAGACAAAACACATTAAATCCATTAAATGGATTGCACAACGGAGAACTCCTGTATTTTCATTTCACAATACAATGTGTAAACTTCCATACAGTTGTTGAACAGCACATTAGGTTTTAATCTTATGGGAAATCATTTTTACAGAATACTACCAGTAATTTTTTTTCCTAAAAATTAGATTTCAAGAGCTACTTTGAATGAAGCCAGGGGCTTGTATTTGACAAGCAATATTTTTTAACTGAATCTGCAGATATTGCACATTTTAGGCTGATTTTGAAACATTCCATTTTCAAAAGCAATTTATTATGCAGCACAGGATGCTGTGGCTTGAAGAATCAGAGTAAGGGCAAAGCTCCCTTGGATACATGGAACCCACTGTGCGATTCTTTGGATACGGGCCATTGCCGGTCTCCAGCAAAAGATTTTAGCTCAGCAGGACAGCAGTCTTTTCATGATGCTGATGAAAAGACTTAATTTTGTCTTGTTCATTGTTAATTCATTCAGACAGCCTACCTGGAAGCAGAGTGAAATGCACAACAAATATAAGCATACAAAACATATTCCATCTGTTGATGTCCACAGCAAAAGGTAGCATATTCAGCATATTTATTTTTCCTTTCTTAGAACTAAGTTACATATGGTTAATAAACACATCTAGTTTTCAGTAAAAACTGGCTTTCCTGTAAAAATGCCTTCACAGTACACAGCAAGTCAGTGTCACATATAAGAACTCTAGAGTGAGCAGAAGATCTGAACGGACACATCACAGATGTAAAAATCTGCATGGCCAGCTAATTCTCAGGATCTTGAAACTGAGAACTGAGTTTGGGCTCTGCATTCTTCCTGCCTGGGAACAAATATGTTGTTTTAGATGGGGCAAAAATGAGAGGCATTGAGAAAAGAGGCACTTGCACCACCTATTTCAACTGCATCAAACACGTCAGAAGCTGCTCTAAGGACTCAAGAACATATCTGACACTTCCTGATCTATGGGTTATAAGGTAACTTGCACACAGGCTGCCTGATACAGGCAAATGACCACCACTGTATGACAGCAATGACTAGGACACAAGTTGAAATTGAAAAGAGGTTGTGTGTCTGGTGTGTAGCAGGACTAAATATAATGATTCAGCAACTCAAACTATTACCATTGGCACACAAGTACTGAAATGAAAAGGCTGCCTACCTTGGAAAGGTTAAGGGTGGCTCATCATTACAACTATGTTCCCACCTCCTCCAATCTGCTTTCCCAAAAGCTTGGACACTGGGTAGAAAAACTGCCAGTAGCATGCAAGCCTAACAAGACCAGAACCTTCACGAGCCAAAAAAAAATCCGTAACAGCATAGCTGTAAGTATAACAAGATCAAAGCTTCACTAACACACACACAGAGAGAAATACATATATAAAACCATTGCCCCGGAGGACCACAGGGAGTCCTAAGAATCCCATTTAAAGCCTTTTGTTGAACTTTGTGTTTGTATAATTCAACATAAATAAAAACGGAAATAACATGGCCTAAAAAGGATCAGATGAGCAGCACTCACAATTCAACTAGGTGCAGCAGTCTAGGTGCTGTGTCTCCCTTAAAAGCATGGGAGATGACCACCCAATACACAAGAAGTAAAATATTTCCATTCACAGATTATTTATTCCCATCTTTTAAATGCCCATGTGTCAGTGAAACAAACATCCATTACAGTAACCAAATAACCTGTTCTTCACTGTTTTATAGAAATCTGTGTAAACCATATGCCTGCACTTTGGCATACACAAGTATAAAATGATTCAATTAAACATTTACCAGGCAAAATAAAACATTATATTACAAAATAAAAATCAAAGAATGCAACATGAAATGTTTGCAGTGCGAGGCACCCAGGAACCCATGAAGCTATTCATCAACCACCTTTAAGACAAGACAGCAATGAAATTAAGGAACACAACTTTATGAAATATGGTGCCTTATAAAAGTGACAAGGTATTGCATATTTACCAAGTGTATTTGCAACCTATTTTAAAGCTGTATTAATTAACCCAGATTAGTCTTCTATAGCTTCTGGAAATTCTCAATGAAAAAGACAGACATTGTCTCTGCTGAAGAAGTTTTTCTTTTCAAAATGTTACATTTTGCAGCCAGTACCCTATTCAGGAAACAAGGGGCAGAAGAGTAATCACATAAGCCTCCCTCCTGTTCCAGCAGGGCCCCCTTTGCATCCCTAGACTTCAAGTGGCTGTGAGACTGGTCATACAGTGGAATGGTCTACCACAGTGGTTCTTAACCTTGGCTTACTCAGGTGTTTTTGAACTGCAACTCCCAGAAACCCCAGCCAGCACAGCTGGTGGTGAAGGCTTCTGGGAGTTGCAGTCCAAAAACACCTGAGTAACCCAAGGTTAAGAACCACTGGTCTACCAGAGTGAAGGGGAACACTTCCATGATTCATTCTTAACAGGATACTGGCCCATATACTGAAATGTCAAGACAGAATTGACACACTCTTTAATACCAAGATATATCACTTTACAGGCTTCCTCTCACGTATGCTAGCAGAAGTATTCATTAAGTACTCTAAATATTCACCTAAAGGAATCCATTTCTTTTCCAAGATTCATGTAATTCACCTATGGCAATGGTTCCGAACTTTTGAATAACCCAGGTATTCTTGGACTGCAACCCTCAGAAACCAAGGGCAGCACAGCTAGAGGTGAAGGCTTTTTGAAACTGCAGTCCAAGAACACCTAGATTACCCAAGGTTGGGAACCACTGATCTATAGCATATCAGACAAGAAGCCACACAAAAGTAACACTCCTGGGAAGTCAAGACACGTATCAAAAGGACTGGCATACAAGCAGCCTGGAAGTCTCATTTGTAATGAGTGAGAGTTTACTGAGTTAAGCATTCTATTTCTGCCCTTCAAAAAGCCCTTCAACCAGCCTCATCTTGTCAAGTATGTACATTTAATAAACCTATATTTATGAATAAATTCTGGGATGTGGTGGACAGGCATACAATCTGTAGGAGAGCCTATCATTTAATAGTTTAAAGAAACAGCCTAGAAGCTAAATTTATTTTACTTAATTGCCAGCTCTTTCCTAACCATGCAGAAGAAACACATAGTTTAATAATTTTAGATATAGAACTTCACTGTAGAATCCTTTTAGCAAGAGAATACAATGGATTGAAAGGGATTTTCAAAACAGGCTGCATGCTTCATTGTCTGTATGCAAAATATAGATGCTCTACTCAACAGCCCAACATGAACTCTAAGCCCTTAGGACAGTTATTGAAAAGCAAATATTCAATAAATGCCATCAATACAAAATGTCAAGGTAAATCAGGGCACTGAACAGCACTAAAATTCATCAGCAGCTTTGTAGACAAGTTGCATCCACGTCTGCATGCCTATGTATAACTATGGAATAATGTTTTAATTTCAGTATTCTTGTGATCAGGGTTGCTAATTTCCCCCCACAAATTAAAATTTTGAAGTTTCATGTATTCTTGCAGCATCATGCATTCTTATGACAACAGTTTTGATGCAAACTCACATTACATCAGATAAATATGTTAGCGAAATGGGGTAATGTACCACAGAATGTATGCTTACAAATCTAATTAGCAGTGCAATCATACCCCCTAATATAGTCTGTTGGAGGAAAGTAGAATGTGGCAAAAGGGCTTCTCCACCAGCAAAGAGGATCTCCATTGCCATGGAGACTCCTACCAGCTAGCATTCCGCTTTGTAGGACAGATGTAAGAGTGGTGAAGGGTTGGTTCTGAATCTTTTTCCAGCAACCTGGGCCCATCATCCACTCACTCCACCCCCAAATGAGATGTCAAATACAAATATCTGCCTGGGTAAAACTGCTCAAATACATCTTATGCTTAGGCTGACGCAGCCAGGAGGACTTGTGATAATGGTAGCAGAGCTGCTGTTCCTCCCAGGCCTCTATATGATTGCTTTGAGTTGTTATAAACAATGCACTGCCATGTTTTGAATTCTCCCTTAAAAGTACAGTCAGCAGTCTATAATTCTCTATGCCAAAATTATCTCCTCAAATTAATTTTTCCCAGGTTGCATCTTCAAAAGGAGCTACAATTCTTCCAGTTGATTAGTCATTTCTATAAGAAAATTAGTACAAGGAAACAAAATTGGCCATGCTTGAATACCAATGGCTATCGCTCACTAGAGTGAGAAAAACAATTACTGAGCAGAATTCACCATTCCATTATATCAATAAATTTTTTAAACATCTCTATATAGAGAATTTCCAATACATTACCAAAAACAAACGAAAAAACACAAAGGAATGGAATTGGCTTTAAAAGCCAGATAACTCAAGAAAGAACAATTCTGTACTCATATTTGCCTTTTGCATAAAAAGCCACAAAAACTCCAACCATAACAGAAATATACAGCATTGGTGTCCTCCGGCATTTCAACCTCGTAGTGAAGTCTCAGAATCAAGACAGACTATGCATGAGAAGAAACCTAAATGTGTAAGAGATTAACTCACTAGGCTTTGAAATACATCTCTGAAAAGTAAACATAGAGCACACCAAACAAATGAATAAATGCCCTGTAATGCATAGTTAGGATCTAGCAAATGATAAACTGGAAAGCATTTTTGCAGGTATAAGCTACACTGCATTTAAAGTACAACACTGTGTGGAGCCTCTCCCATAACTGCAAGGAGGACAAAGCCTTCCAGCCCATCACTAGGTCCCTGCACTGCTTTAAAACCTGAGAAACGGTAAAGGCTGGATTTAAGAAACCTGTTCAAATGCTCTGGGCCAAGTCTCTGACAGAACTGTGCAAATGAACAGGCATCAGAGGTCAAAACTTTTCATTATAGCATCTTGATCAAACTTAAAACTCAGAAAAGCTTGTGAGGAGAATGGGAATTTGCAATGGCCGTTACATGACATTGATTGTCCGGGTTCTAGGAGCTGGTCTTCATTCACACAACACATGTCATATGCTGCTTCTACATTTAAAAGATAAACAAATCGTTAGCAAGGCAATGTTGAGTCAAAAGCAATGTTAAGTCTCCTGTGGCTCAGAACAGAAAATGGTAATATATGAAAGAAAAACAACAACAAAAAGCTTCACTTTATTTGGCCTCATACTGGCTAAAAAATGATCATAATAAAAAGTTTACAAGACGGATAACAACATTGATTTGTCCTATCATTTTTCCTTCCATGGAACATGGAGGATATAGCAAGCTCTCATCTGCTAGACACCAACCAAATGGAAAAGCTTGTTCCTGTTTCTGGAGGATGCTGGCAGCTTTCTGGCCCATCAATTCTCTCAGCCATCATGCAACATAACTGATTGCTCACCTTCTTAGACTGAGGAGAGTTCAGCCTAGAATTCTCCTCAGTTTAAAGAGCATTTCAGCTCGAATTCTGCTCCAGGTACCACGCATATATACTGAACTGCAGAATATATGCCACTGAAAGAATGTTTTAGAGTTGGGAATTTTTCCACTAAAACCCACTTTAAAGACATACAATCTAGTACTATGCACGTTTCCTCAGACTTACACTTCACCCCCTCACCCCACAATTTAGTGACCTCACTCAAAGATGAAGGACTAATGCCTTAGTGAAGATGAATGTCCTCCCTGACATTAACAGCTACACTATGCAAAGCTGTGTCAATATTACATAAGGATATGGCACTACACAACTGGGACAGAACATTAAAGCACAGGAAAATTCCTAGCATTGGACCTGACTGAGATACTGTACAACTCTTTCAGGCCAAAACACAAATTGGGTGCCTGTTTCATGACATAAGGAACTGCTTGAACTGTTCCTCAATCCCTACTTATTATGAAAATATGAAATCACTTTCGTTTTTTGGTCTTGTTTGTAAGCCAACATTAAACAACTTTTCATTTGACTTTAATAGAAAAGAACAATTTAAACAAGCTATGCCACATAGCATTATTGAACTCAGATGGTTACCTCTGAACCAGGCTGCTGCTTGCCTAGTGATAATATCTAAACTACATTTAGAAATGATGATGGATGAAAACACAGCAATACTTGCCTGTTTCAAAATTATCTTGAAGTCTTCTTGGATGCAACTTCTTTTCACATTTCTAAATAAGAAAACAATTTTGTTAGCAATCTCCACAAAGCCATTGAGATGCTTGATGAAATCACAGTGAAGCAAAATGCTTCCATTCATGTCAATGGAAGAAGAGTTCGCCACACAGTCAAATGGGGGAAAGGGAGAACAAGTGCTTCACTTAGATTTGATCAGGCCCCAATAGATTTATTACTTCCCAGAATTTATGGAACATTTTCACTAAATATGAGTTTAAAGAGACAGGACTGAACATTAAAACAGCAAACCAACATAGCAAGGGACAAGATTGACATAATTCTAAGGTAGAAGCGTACAGGTAAGCCTGAGTCCCAGATTCTTTCTCTATAGTTGGGAGAAGCAACAGGAAAACTTTACATTTTCCTGAGCTGCTCGAACAGCTTGAAACAAACAGACCTCCCTCAAAGCTGCAGCAAGAACACAAAGCTGACAGCCAGTGAGCGGCCAAGCAAAATCTGCTATTTGTCCATGGCTTAAAAGCTCAGTCTTGAGTTTTAAATTACAGGCCCTGTTTGCAATCAAAGCAATGAAAAGGAATTCTTAGTTTCTGTGCTGAAAAGTCACCCGGATTTGTAGTGCCAGTTAACACTACCAATGTTTTTGATAGAAAAAAAATTCTAAAGATCCTACTGTACATCTGATTATTCCTGATGCTTTACAGTCCTCATTTCCTTTGGACATCTTACCGAAGTTTGGTTTTGTTTAGACAGCTGACCATGGACTCCATTTGTTCTTTTCTTTTGATTAGGTGTGTCTTGGTATTGCTTCCTGCCATTGCCCCGTGTGTTCTGAGCCAACCAAAGGTCACAGAAAAAGGAAAGAAAGTTAAGGGTCTTGGAATGCCATGTTATAAATATATCTACAGTAGACCCTCTACTTAAGGAATTAATCCGTATTGGAATGGTGGCCGCAAGTCAAAAAGTCTGTAAGTCGAATCTCCATTGACCTACAATGCACTGAAAACCGATTAATCCCATAACCAGTGGTTTTTATTCTATTTTTATTCCATGTTGGTTTTTTTCTGGTCTGTAAGTCGATTCTCTGGCTGCAAGTCGAATCTAAATTTTGCAGCCAGAGAAGTCTGTAACTCGAAAAGTCTGTAAGTCGAGCCGTCTGTAAGTCGAGGGTCCACTGTAATTATATTAATTAAATTAATTAATTCTGAAAATGAGCAAATTGTATTTATATTCTCAAAGGACATACAGTTATACATCCAGCTTAAAGACAACTTCTACTTAAAATCCATGCACTTGAGAAATTTAACAGGATTTTTAAAAGGCTTTAAGTGTCAAAGAATTTGAGCTAGTAAAAGAATTTCTAAAAGAAACTCACTTTTAGTTTTAAAGTTTCAGACACCTCCAAATGATTGTTAAATGGCTTCTGTTGCTGTAACTGCCTATGCCTTGTCCATTGGTCTCCAGCAAGATTATCTGGGAACACCTGCTGGCTATAATGGAGTTTGGATCTAATTCATTAAGAAATAAAAAGCTTGTTTTGAAAGTTGAACAGGAGATCAGTGCAATATGAGAACACAAGACAAACTTGTTCAGTTCAACTATTCTTGCCAAGTACCCACTGCAAAAGTATCTTGCCCTTTTAAAGTCATTAATGCTTGTTTCAAAGTGAGCAGTACTGACAGTATCAAGAATACGAGCATTAGCCTACTCAACGTATTTTATATATATATTTATTAAAATATTCTTAACCTGTCCTATATCAATAGATTTCAAGGCAGGATACAATCAACAACATTTCCTCAAAAGAATCCAATACCATCCAAAATTTCAAAAACTTCTAAAAGCATGTTTAACAATTTAACCATTCAAACAATACAGAAATCCTAACATATCTTTGTCCCTCACACAAAGTAACAAGGCATAAAACAGTGACAAGGATGAGAGTTGATCACTTAAGACAGCAGGTAACATTGAAATAACACCACTGCAAGTTTTAGTGAGACTTTCTGATGTCGGTGGCTTCCTTAAAGCCTCAATTAATGCAGCAGACCTTTGTATAAGCTCTTACAAGTTTGCAATGCAAACCTTTTCCATTTTAATGTTTGTTTTCTACCTCAAGCTATCAAGCACCACCAGCACTAGTTTACACATATGCAAAGCATTTTTCTAACTATGGAACACTGCATTATTATTTCTGCTCCTACATTTAGAAGGTCAGGACAACAGCCTACTTCCACAAAACAGACGGAGTCTATCTAAAACAATTTATCACTTTCTTCACTGAACAATGAAAACACTATTATTTATAAGAGGACTACTGTAAAAATTGTGCCAGTTCTGCTACCTCATTTTTTCTATACTGAGTTTAGGTGGAGTGCCGCTACAGGTAGATGCAAATCCATTGTCACTGTCTGAGGAATCTCCATACCGTCGAGAAAGCCAGTCTCTCAGTGGTCTGCAAAGAGCATAACATTAAGCCAGTAATCTCCAACTTCTAGGAATGAGGTCTAAAATATCCTCTTTGCATATACCCCCCCCCCAAAAAAAACCTCTCAATATGGAAGTGAGATGTTAGAAAATCTGTCTTTTTTCTCGAATCTGAAAAGCATACCTGATGAAAGGAATTGCCATAAAAAACTTGTTAGGTGCCAAACCTAGCTTGGACTTCGGAGTCATATCATTTCTATGGCACGGTAGTTTGTCAATTGAAAACCATTCAATATTCTGAAAGATAAAAAAATTTCTTTATACTTAGTAAAAATTATTGAAAGGAATAATAACAGTGAATTCTGCAGTACATCCGCCTCTACTCTTGAAATGGACCAAATTTCACAAAGCACTTTGCCACTATCAGAAAATCTTACCAGCCAGAATTCTAATAATTAGGCATGAGATTTTCACATTTTTTTCACTACACTTACCACTATTCATCAGAATTCTGACATCTGCAGCCCAAAATCCAAATCCTCAGAGAAGTTTTAGTACACATATCTGATGCCCAGCATGCTCTTCTCTGGAACCATTTCAGAGAGAGTAGGTGGGTCTTGCTATGTTCCATTGCTCTCAAAAAAACGATCAACCCCCACAATCCCTTCTAGTTCCATGGAGCTTAGAAAGTCCCACATTCTGGGCCTCAGATGCATGTACTGAAACTCTTTGGAGGACTTGGATTTTTTGGCTGTAAGTGCCAGAATTCTGACTGGGGAAAGTTCTGGTGAACTATGGTAACTGTAGTGGGAAAAAAATCCAAAAATCCCATGCCTGCTAATGATGTTGTGGACTTGCTAACTGCAAGTTAAGTGACATGGTGCCAGCTGGCATCTCAGTCACATGTTTGGTCACGCTCCTGCTGTGCAACCAAGACGGGGCCCCAGGAACAAATCATTCAGCACAATTAGCCTAGGCAAGTTACATGACCCTTACGTGAACACCAACAAGATTCCAGGTATTGTTTAATGTATTCCTTTATGTTGTATATCTATCCACGCCAGATAACATTCTCCACTATGAATCCAATGAAAAAATACAACTTTAATTTATTCCTTCACATATACAAGACATTTCTGATACAAATATTCCCTTGCCGTTACCCCATAGTCTCTTATCTTCTGTTGATAATAACATACAGTCATGTGAACAAGAAAGTAGACCCTTTTTGGATTTATTTTTGTTAAATAAATCAAGACATGGTGTAGTATGTTATGTGTTGTTGTTCACCTGAGGTTGTAGATATCTAATTTTCAGACCTGCAAAGAACCATATGATTTTTATTATGTCCTGATACATAAACCATAGAACTCAAAGAGGGTGTACTTCCTTTTTCACATGACTTAATGATCCTGTCAGGACTGAATCTCAACCTGCAGCCCAAGTACAAAATATGAGACCTGTGAGAAGATCTGTAGTTTTGGTTCCTGGGAGATGGATATAAATTCTTCCTGATTTACAGATTCCTCTGCCCTTGGATTTATAATTTTCTCCAGAACCCTCTCACACTGATGAGCACAAAGATAAAACTGAGTTTAACTCCCCCTTGTTTCATTATAAATGTCCATCAAAGGAGATTGTTATTTTAGTAATTCTGGTGTACAGAGCTTTAGGAAAGAATGGTCCAGGTGCAATTAAAGATTTATGATCAATCCTCACCCACGGGTTAGAATGGAATAGAAATAACACTCCATGGCTAAGACTGCATGTCCACTGAGGAGGCCTCTGTTCATGCTCCAGAAGTTCCAGGGACTGCTGATGTATTAAACAGAGGGACCTAAGTGGAGGCACGTAAAGCCTTTAATGACTCCAGCCTGAATAAATTGTAGTTAATTTCTCTTCCGCTGATTTCAATCAGGGGAAAAAATAGAGGAAAATCATCTGGGGGAACAGTGAAAAACTATCCCAGCCTATCATCTGTCCTGACTGCTGAGAGCCAGCAGGGCATCAGTTGCAGCTGTAGCTCCAAGATGAATGTCATCACTTCTAGTACTTAGGACTTTACTGTCCAATGGATAAAAAAGAATACAATTGAATATGCCTCTGGAGAACAGGATGCATTCTGCTGTTACAAACTATTTCTATGTGCATCTGAAAAATCAGCACTAATGCTGCACATACCAGAACAACACTACACTAAGGAATAGTGTGTTGTTATGACTTCTTATGACATGTGACCATGGTTTAATACTGGAACATCATTAATTTATTCATATTTAAGAATTCATTCACACCCTGCTAACAAGAGAAAGATGGAGTATTTACCCGAATCTCTCTCCTTGTTTTGGGATTAAATTTTGTTTCCTTTGGAATTCCTGGAATGATGTACAAGCGTGCCAGCTGATCATTGATTCGTAATTCAATATAATCATCTTTATTGATGTAGTCTTTTATATCAAAGCCAGTTTCTTCAAACACCTTAAAACATACAGACCAGAGCAAAATGTTAGGTACTACATAACTGTTTGTTTCCACTTATACCTAAAAGAAATGAGATATCTGACCAATAACTTCTAATTTAGAAAACTAGAGCTGATTTTACAAAGCGGAAATTGAAGTACAAATTTCACCAGAGTGTGAGGGTTCGATCTCTGCCTCCCCCTTTTGTTCAATAAACCAGGCGTTGTTTGAAAAGCCAAATCTCTCGAAGCTCTTATTTATCAAACGACAACAACTCAGGAACAGCAAGCTTGTGTAACTTCTCTTGTGAGACCACCGGGTCTCGCAATGGCAACCAAAGTTCCGTTTCAAAAGGATTAGTATGTTTAACTTCCCAAGGTCCTGGGGTAAGAGGGTTATACCCGCGTAACTCACGATTCACCTTGTCCTCTCTTAATAATGGCAAGGTCGCCTCGTTGGCCTCATATCCCCAAAACGGGGATCCCTCCTCCTGGTCCTGGAGGTATCTCCTCCGTCTCTCCTCTTCTGCTCGCCATGCCCGGCGTTCCTCCGTATCTCTGGCCACTGCTTCCCGCTCCTCTCTCAGCAATCTCCTCCACTCCCAGGCCTCTGATTCTCCCCAGTACGAAGGTCGCTGGGGAAGTCCTTTACGTCGCCTATAGTCGGCCTCTTCCCTGGGGACTTTCACCTGTTCCCATAGTCCAGTGATCCTGCACCCAAATTAATTCCCAGCCTTGCAGTATGTCATCGCACTCTGCATTTATTTCCCCCAATCCCACCTCAACCGTAGACCGTCTCCTTTCCTCCCTTCCCGCCAAATCCTGCTCAGTCTGGGTAGACATGGTTAACCCTTGTAGGTTCATCTCCAATTCCCGGGTGTCTAGGCTCTGGTGTATCATCCGGGGCAGAGTTGGAGGTGTATTAGTTTGTATTCCTCTAGTCGCCTTAGGGAGAGACGGCACTCCAAAAAGGGCCTCTGCCCCCTCATCTCCTTTACCACACAGAGATAATGATGTCTAATGTCTATGAATTTTAAAGGTCTTCTAATTTTGAAAACTAACTCATTGATATTTAGTGCAATGTTATATGTCTACTCAGTTGTAAGCCCAGCTGAGTTCAATGCAACCTACCACAATGAAGTATGTATATCAGGGTAGGCAACTTTGGTTGATGGTGCGGGGGGGGGGAGGTTTTACCTCCAGCACTTGCTATAGGCTATGTCAAGCCAGGAACAACGAATCCGCACAACGGGGCCGTACTAGCGATCGCAAATGCGATCGCACACCGACGGCCCCTATGGCTCAAAATCACAGATCGAAGGTCGGTAAGCGGACCCGCCGATCAGCTGTTAGGCGGCTTCAAAATGGCCGCCGGAAGCCCCAAAATGGCCGCACGCAGCGTTTTCGCGCCCTCGTTAAGCGGGGGTTGAGGGCGCGAAAATGGCTCCCGGCCATCGGAGAAACATCGCTGTACGGTGAGTAAAGCTGCTATTGGAACGCATTAAACTAAGTTTAATGTGTTCCAATGGCTTTTTTTGATCTGTACAGTGATGTTTTCACACAGCGAGGGTTAATCCAGAACGGATTAACCTCGTTGTGCGAGGCACCACTGTAGATTTTTTTAAAATAATAAAACTAAACATAACACTTCCTGTTCTGATTTTTGGATGGAAAAGTATTGAGAGAGCTTCCCACTTGCTTAAAACAAAAAAAAAATCACTCCTGAGAGTGTTCAAGAGCTGAAAACCTGTATTTCAATTATACAGAACTGGAGGCCCTAGGGAATCTCAATAACTGCCTGGTAGAACAAGTGACCCACAGTCTGCACTTTATCCATTCCTGATGTACAAGACTGTAGCCACAGAGGATTACTTAATTATCTCTTAGCTCTCACTCAGTTCTAGGAAGCTAGGAAACAATGCCCCTGTTTGTAATTCATTAAAATATAATAGCATTACAACCTAATCCATGGGCAAGTAATCTATTCAATTTGGAAAAAAACTAGTTCTCTACCATTGATATTAAATTCTATTCACTTCAAAGAATGTAGACAGGAACATTTCAGTGCCATTGTTCAGACAACAAAAAAGCAACTTAATCACCTCTCTAGCAGCACAATCATGCGGAGCCTCTTCTTTATTCACTTTTCCTTTTGGAAATCCCCAGCCAGACTTTGCTAAGTATCCTTGGACCAGCAGCACCTGCAAAGTTTAAACACTATTTTCAGGACCTAATTTAGCACCGATAAAGGTGAAATCAGCTCATGTAAAACAAGCTGGTACAATTTACATTCATAAAAACTGGACTGTGGGAGGGAAACAAGCCTATAATTTTAACATAATGGAAAAAACTCAAAATACAGATGTATTATTCAGTTATTCAACTAGTGTTTACATGTAAAGCATAGCTTGTAAAAGCCTTCAAAATATGTACATCCAAGTAGATTGGCCTAAAAGTTAACATCTAGTTTATTGCTAGTTGTATTCCATAAGAAGTCATTTTTCTCCAGATGAGAAAATCTTACATTTTCAAGAGATTCATCAAGAATAATTGCACCATAGGTTGGCACTCCCATTTTGTACTCTTTCCATTCATCTAAAACCTTCTGCACATCTTCACCTTGAGGCAGTAAAAAGGGGCAATGATTAAAAAGTACAGAGTGTCAAGGAAATTTACTGCATGAGAACACACATAATCACAATTCAAGTTTTATGACTACATTTCTATTACTTCCTTTCTTTATGCATGTTGTCTTCGGCAAAAATCCAGCCGTTCATTTGAACAGGAAGCTGTGTCATGGAGATTTAATATCAATAATAGAAGTAACCGTCATAATTTTAATATTTTATTAAAACCGACATGGCAAATAATGGGGGAGGAATAGTCAGAAGTCACTTGATAATAAAGATGCGGTAGCCATGCTTCATGCTCCATGGTTGGATGGGAACCTCCCTGTCAGTGCCTGCTGTTCTACCTCCAGTGAGACATGTGGGAGTGTGCACAGGAAGCAGGACTGGCAACGTACTTGGTGTAGGGCTATTGTCCAAAATGCCAGCAAGGAGCAGTACAATATCACCATCATCCCTACTATACTATCCTTAACGGTACTGATTCAAAGTTCTCCAAAGCAGAACCTATGAGTGTTTCTGAACTTCAAGGCACTTTTATTAGCACCCACAGCAGCCCTTTGAGCCCACTATTATTACTTTTCACCTTGGATAAGAGGCCTCTAACTGCCTCAACCATTTCCTTGCTTTGCTTCCACAATGCAACCCAGAAAGGAGGCACAGAAATGAAAAAAAAGAAGAGGATGGAGAAGTCACTGCTTTGTTTTCCAGCCATTTGTCTACTAAAATATGGGGGAATGTGAGTGACCTCATTTCCAACATTCTGGTTTGCCCCAAAACCCTCTTCCATAAATGAAGAGACATCTGTTTTAACAATGTTGCTTTTATTCAGATCATAGTGGGTTGCTTACCACCGTTTCAGAAGCCCCATTTTCATATAATGGTTACAATTTGTAAAAACTATCAGAACAAAAATCTAATGGAACATAGGCATTCAATGGGATGCCCCTCCAAATCTTTCCCAGTCTATGGGAGTACCCCTGCAGCAGGGATGCCATGTCCACTCCCCCTCCAAACCTGACACATTCCCTCTCATGAGTATCCAGGGATCTCTTCTACCTGGAGGTGTCTCCCCCCCCAGAGGGGGGTTATAGTTCCAGGGGGTTATGTGCCATCAAGAACCAATATACCCATGCACAGACAAGCAGCAGTTTTTTAAAAAAACATCCTAAACACTATTTAGCCTACATCGTGGAAAGAAAAAACATTAAGAATGTGGTTCAGAAAAGGTTATCATACCCAAAATCTAGCAATAAGAGCACAGTCAGCATTTTTCAGGATGTGATGTCTTCCTGAGACCCTGAAGGAGAAGCAGAAGGAAGGTCCCTGTTTGAGATCTATGCTTTCTGCTATATAGTAGCTATAGCCTGATTTGCAACTTGCCTTTGTTTCTAAATATTATCATTATCGAACTGCAGAGCTGAAAAGGACTCTATGGCTCACTGGGTCCAACTCCTTTCAAGGAGGTACAGTGGGGAAATCAACTCCCAACCTCTGGCTCCACAAGCAGATATCTAAACCACTGAGAAAGCAGTAACAGCTGAACAATTCCAGGTGACAAATTTCAAAAATTAAAGACTTCCTCCAATTCCAAGGCTCCCAATAGCTTCCTCACAACAAATGGGATTCCACAGGAGCCTTGAGATGTCAGGGGTGGGATGGGGGGCAAGAATCAGGGGATTTTGTTTCTGAAAAATAGCTGCAGCTGATTATATCATCAGCCTTACACCGCATATATGTGTGAGCAGGATTTCAGTCACTATACAGTTACTGATGAAACAAAAATCCACCAGAGTGTGGTTTTACTTAAACAGAATAGATGCAGTGTCTCTCCAGAGTTCATGATTGCCCTAATAAAGTAACATAAGATCCTGTAAATATTCATGATGATTAACCTGTTCAACTGAGGCTGTTCACCTTCCAGTGCCTTCATAAATATTCTCTTTCAATAAGCTTTATTAAAACAGTAATTCATTTTCTAATGAAGCTACAAAACTAATCTGAAAGCTTTCTAAAATAAATCAGTTGCTCAAAAATGCATAAATATAACAAGCAAAAGAGCACTTTGGGGGGGAATAACGCAATTAAGTTGATTCTGAATAGTGATTTAAATCAAATTCTGCCTGATACAAGGAAAAACTCCACTGTATGTGATAATTAACATTCAGCAATTCAAAAATAACATAGCAACAAGCACGAAAGCAAAAACAATTCCACCCCCCATAGCACTTAAAGCACTTGGCATACTGATTTCTAAGTCACTCACTCCTGAGTACTTTTGTCTTTCACAATATAGTCCAATTGTTTATGGAGACAGATTCAAAATTATATATAGTTTTGCTGCTTGTTTTTAACAAAATTACAACATATTAATTTAAAGGATATCAGCTTTAGCAAAATCTCTTATCCCACACTGAGGTAATCCTGGTGTATTCTGCATGTAGAAATCCAAGTAAAACCAATGGGCCAGTTCAACTTGAAAACACACACGGATTGCATTGTCTCGCTCCTCACTGGGGATGTGCAAAATAAATCGACTGTTGAAGAGTGAGAAGAAATAATGTTAGGAAACTTTTAAGATATTTATGAAACTATAAAACATGTGAAGAAGAAGAAAGAGCTTTGAACTGTAATCATTAGGCAATAAAATCCAATTCAGAAAAGACTGTTCAAACACATAAAATACATCAATGGGTTTAAAAAGATCTAGGACATTTTGATTGATTAATTGACGCTCCTAGTGGCAATCACGAGGTTAGCTTTTTTGAAGATTCAGAAAGATGAACAGATTTGTAGGACCCCAATTTGCTTCCAGTCCTCTCATAACACACCAGAGAAACAAATTTGGATCAAATCTAAGCTACTTTCTTTGCCTTGTTGGAAAACAAACATACAGAGGTAGAGGCATATTTGTTCAGATGACACAATAAACAAACCACATAGCTCCCAAGCAGCAGTCATCAAGCAAAGTGCACCACAACACCATTCATATTCTTTCCCACTGTTCCCTAGGTTGCTCCTGTAACTCTGGGAAAATTCAGTTAACTGAAACAAAGAAATAAACTTTAGACTTTTTTGAATATACCATTGGACACAAACCAATTAAATAAATGAGAACAAAGCTCAACATTCCAAGGATGGAAAAAGTGGAGACTGAATTTATGGCTGCTGTGGGCTTTGGGGGCTCTTTGGCCGTGTTCTGAAGGTTGTTCTTCCTAACGTTTCGCCAGTCTCTGTGGCTGGTATCTTCAGACGACATTTCCTCTGAAGATGCCAGCCACAGAGACTGGCGAAATGTTAGGAAGAACAATCTTCAGAACACAGTCAAAGAGCCCAAAAACCCCACAACAACCATCAGACCCTGTCCATGAAAGCCTTCGAGAATACACGGAGACTGAATTGGTAACTGCTTTAGGCACAAGTCATAGCTCCATTCTGAGTGTCTCACTGTAACAGAACTTAAGACACTCCTTGATCTTGAGACTGAAAGTATTATACAATGTTCAAAAGATGAAATGGAAAATTCTCCACAACTTTTAAAACAGGAAACTACACTCAGAGAGATAACTGCTTTCAGTTGTCTTTTAAATGACACCACGTAGTTAAGCAGTTTAACAAGATAATTAGGAAGATTAACAAAATTTAGTTTTAGGTTGTTAGGAAATAATATGCATGGCCTGGCTGAGGGCATATTGTCTTACCTGCTGAGCAGGCATTTTCTTACAGGCTTTCATGGTGTTTCAAAAAACGTATTTCAGGGGCACAACTGAAACCTGGTGGAAGATATTTCACTTCTCTCATCCTGCTCTTTTTTAACCTGAAAGCATGCTATATACAGTAAGGATTAATATTCAAAAACCATTAACTTTAACAATTTCAACCACTGACCAACTGTCATTACAACAGGCCCTGCACTGGAAGAAGAGGATTTCATACCACCTACTCCGAGGGTCAAATAAATAAATACATATATTTTAAAGGTTTTATACAATCCAGTATTCAGTATAGAAGATACCATCAGAAAACTTCTCAAACTAAGTTTGTGTGTCCAAAAGTACCTAATTATTAATAGATGTATATGGAGATGGGAATAAAGAGGTCTGAACAGCACTGCTTTACAGCTACTGACTAATATTTCTGAATTAGAGTGCATACCCAAAAGCATATACTGAAATACATGTATTAGTCTTAAAAGCAAAGCGTGCTGCTTATATACCGCCCCATAGCACTTTAAGCACTCTCTGGGCGGTTTACAAATTAATTATGCAGGCTACACATTGCCACCCCCCCAGCAAGAAAACTTCTCAAACTAAGTTTGTGTGTCCAAAAGTACCTAATTATTAATAGATGTATATGGAGATGGGAATAAAGAGGTCTGAACAGCACTGCTTTACAGCTACTGACTAATATTTCTGAATTAGAGTGCATACCCAAAAGCATATACTGAAATACATGTATTAGTCTTAAAAGCAAAGCGTGCTGCTTATATACCGCCCCATAGCACTTTAAGCACTCTCTGGGCGGTTTACAAATTAATTATGCAGGCTACACATTGCCTCCCCCCAGCAAGCTGGGTACTCATTTTACCGACCTCGGAAGGATAGAAGGCTGAGTCAACCTTGGGCCGGCTACCTGGGATTGAACCCCAGGTCGTGAGCATAGTTTTGGCTGCAGTACAGCGGTTTAACCACTGCGCCACGAGGCTCTAAGGGGGTCAAAATAGTTCGGTTTCCATTCTCCTTCATTATATTTTTGGATAACATACTGAATACATTGTTCTATTTAGTCCATCCTCTTTTTTGCAGTCTTATGCGTGACAAGGTTTTCTCAAAAATTTCATACAAACTATTAAGCGATTCTGAGGTGGCCTAAAACCCTACAAATTTTCAAAAATAATACAGCATTTAGTTTATAGCCAAAAAGACAGAGGAAGCTGGAGGCATACAAACTGATAGGAGCAAACCTTAATTTTGCTTGGTGGTTACCTTTATGGTTTTTCTACGAGGAATATAAAATGTATTCATGGTTGCATCAGTGCTTGAATAAAGATAATCTCACTTCTTCAATTAGAAATATTCAAGTCTTTATTCCATATCAATTATTTTTATTTGGGTTTAGTTTTTTTTTTCTGTACCGACATGAAACAAAGGGTTGTTGTGCTTTTCTTAAGGAGAAAGGCAGGATAAAAATATTTTAAATAAATAAAAGTTCTCGTCCTTGGTATCAGCTTCTGTACAACCACAAAGAGCCCTGAAAATACACTTCTGCCTCATACAGCTCTCCTCACATCTCTCTCGCTTTCCCTCACACACAAAAATATATACCAACCGTCGTCCGGAATTCCCTTCACTGTAAACTGTTTAAGAAAAACCACAAATTCCAGGTAGTCCTCAGAGTTCCCTCCGGCGAACAAAATAACCGACAAAAGCGTCTCTCCCCTTCCTCCTCCTCCTCCTCCTCCTCCAGGTGCGACGCCTGAAGGGAGGGAAAGAAGCGCCGGCTGCCCTCCGGGAACTCCCCACGGGAGGACCGGCGGGCGATGCCCAGGGGAAGGAGCGGGTGGGCTGCCTCAGGTCAGCCCCAGTCCTTCCTCTTCCTCGCCACCGCCACCGCTTTAAAAGGACGGGGGCGTTACCTGCACAGGTCGTCCAGGACGCTGCTGGGAATCTCGGCCCGCTTTGTCTCCATGGGGAAGCAGCGCAGCTCATCCCGATACGCAGAGGCCCGGACTTTCACGGGAAACGGGTAGGGAGGCGGGGCGGGGGAGTCTAGACCGGAGGAAGGAAGGAAGGAAGGCGGGACCATTCGGTCGAGGTCCCGTTGGACGGGAGAGAGGATGAGCGAGCCAATCGCTTACGCCCTTGTTCGATGGGGCGGGAGACCCGCGTCGCGCAGCCAATCCTCGTGGCCAAAGTCGGGAGGAATTGGCCAATCCGCTGCCGCTTGCCAGCGACCGAGGTACTCAGGATGGGGGGGAGCGGTGAACGCGGAGAGAAACGAAAGTAACGTAAGTAACGCTAAAGTTCCGCAATAGTCTGAGAAAGCAGTTTCCGCTTCGTGGGCGGAGGAAACGTGGTGACGTCGTTTCTGAAACGGGGGGGAGGGGTCAGTGCCATTCGTACTGGGGGGGAGGGGAGTCTGTTCGATTCAGCACTTTATTCTACCTTTCACTAACTCGATATGTAATGTGTGGGTCTGAAGTCTAGCGCTATGGAAGGTTTCAAGTAAAGAAACTTTTAACAGTGCAACCCTAAATGTATACAAAGACGTAAGCCCTCCTCGGCTCACTGGGAAAACCTTTGAATAACTGTTCAAATTGTAACCCATGCCTGCAGCCTTAAGAACCTGTACCTGTAAGGCAAAAATGATAGTTTATTTTTGATCAGATACAGATGAGGAAAATTCCTGCATAAAGTCATAAGCCAGTGGTTCTTAACTAGAGTTCATTCTTAACCATATTCACTCCCTGAGTAATCTCCAAAAGGGAGGAAATATTCAGAATTTTTAGGAATGCATTCACAGTGTGAGGTACTGTATCCTGTTCCTTCCCTCTTGTAGTGGCTTCTGAAGACCACGTGATGGGATTGCGTACTCCTCAGCTGTCCTGGAGACAAATAAGATTTTAAATTTGTTTCTTAGACCCTTGAAAAGCAACACAAAGCAAAACAAAAAGTAAGAAGGGTCCATTCCTTTTTAAAAGTAAGAAATATTACTTGTAACAATACTGAATAGAGTATACACGTTGAGCATTGTAACAAGAGTAAGGTGTAGAGAGAGATTCTTTTAAAAGTGCCACTGACACTTAGATAAACCTAATAGGGAAAAGTTCAACCTGGTGGTCATCATAGTTATTTATTTATTCAGTTTATACCCCGCCTATCTAAATTGAAGTCTACCCTGGGCAGCTAACAATTGTACATAATAGTAAAACCAATATAATAAAATAAAGACTACAGTAATAATATAATTCAAGACGGTAAAAGAAATTAGGTGATGACAGGAGGGAAAGCCTGCCTAAAGAGACAGGTCTTAAGTGTGCTCTTAAAAACACCCAGTGAGAGAGCCAGACAGATCTCTGCCGGCAAGGGGCCACTGCCAAGAAGGCCTGGTTTCTTATTCTTTCTCTCCAGGACTCCCTCAGCGTTAGGCCTCTCAGCCACCCATCTTGGCTAGAATGAGTGATTTGGGCAGATCTATGTCATACACAAATTCTTACTAAATATATATGTGTATCATAGCTACTTTCCATGGGTATCTCTATGAAAAAAGATGGATATACAAGTAGATGTATTCAGTAAATATCAATATATTTTGATGCTACCACAAAGTATTGACTGTCTAGAATGCTGTTTATATGTCCTAATTTTTTATTTGGGGTGCATTCAGTGGTTCATGTTATATACTTCTTGGGAATTTAGGGGTTAAAAATCACTGGCATACTAACATGAACATAATACCTACTAAAGATACAGTAAAAGGTAAAGGTTCCCCTTGACATTTAGTCCAGTCGTGTCCGACTCTAGGGGGCAGTGCTCATTCCCGTTTCCAAGCCATAGAGCCAGTGTTTGTCTGCAGACAGTTTCCGTGGCCACGTGGCCAGCGCAACTAGACACGGAATGCCGTTACCTTCCGACCATGATGGTACCTATTTATCTTCTTGCATTTTTACATGCTTTCGAACTGCTAGGTTGGCAGGAGCTGGGACAAGCGGCGGGAGCTCACTCCGTCATGTGGATTCAATCTTACGACTGCTTGTCTTCCGACCATGCAATACAGACGCTTCTCCGGTTTAACCCGCAACGCCAGCATGGCCCTATATATACAGTACAGTAGGTTTAGGCTAACGTCAATTTGATGATATATACAAAT